GAAATTTAACAGTATACACCCAACGACAGCTAACAGTTCGTTTACCAGAGGGTAAAGGAACGAGATCCCAAGTCTCTTTATGATGTAAAGCATCCATCTCCTCCTTCATAGCTTTTCTCCAACCTGGATCAGATAATGTATCCTATAAATGCTTAGAAATAGATATAGCAGATAATTGGGAAGTAAAATAAGAGAAGACAAGAGACAAGGCATCATATGAAACAAAATGAGAAATGAGATGATTAGTAACACACAAACGAGTACCTTGGCGAAGAGCAATAGGTAAAGAGTCTAAATTACCTGATGTACCAAGATCAGAAGGCGGCACGGAAGACGGTATGTGCACCTCAGTCGATGAGCGAGGACGACGATAATAGACACAGAGAGGTAAAGTAGATGGTAACACAGTGGGCAGTGGAATATCTGAAGATAAAGAAAGAAATGGTAGTACAAAAGAGGATCCAAAGTCCAAATTCAAAGGCTGAGAAGGTGCTGAAAAGTATGGAACAGACTCTTCAAACGTGATATTAGCACTAGTAAAGTATCGATGCAGAGAAGGACAGTAGTAACGATACCCCTTTTGCGTGCGGGAGTAACCAAAAAGTACACATTTGGTAGCTCGAGAGTCAAGTTTATCAAATCTAGGCCATAAATTGTGAATATAACAGACACAATCAAAAACCTTAGGAGTCAAGGAAAATAAAGGCTTACCAGGAAAAAGAATAGAATATTGACTTTGCCCATGTGACATAGAGGATGACATACGATTGATAAGATGACAAACAGTAAGAACAGCATCACTCCAATAATATCGAAAAATATTCATTTAGAATAACAGGGCACGGGTGACTTCCAACAAATGATGGTTCTTGCGTTCAGCAACACCATTTTGCGAAGACGTGTAAGCATAAGAAGTCTGATGAATAATGTCAATTTTACTAAAATAAGCTGAAAAAGGATCAGATTCATATTTTCGAGCATTATCGAAACATAAAGTACGTATACGACAACCAAACTGAGTTTTTATTTCCTTACGAAAAGTCTCAAATATAGAGAATAATTCAGACCGAGCTTTCATAAAAAATAATCAAGTCACATGAGAATAGTCATCCACAAATGTCACAAAATAAGGATATTTATTAGATGAAATATTCTTTATTGGATCCCATACATCAAAATGGACTAATCAAATGGACTAGACACACGATTATTGACTCTAGACCGAAATGACACATAATGATGCTTACTAAGTTGACAAAGCTTAACAAGACAAAGACGACATATAACTAAGACTGGGAATTTGGCGCTTCAGATTCTGGAGAGAGGGATGTCCAAGACGACAATGCCATTGAAACGGAGACAACGAGGTCTGTAGAGCCCAGGTTAGGTGAATCAAAGTCAAGATAATATAGGCCACCAGCTTCATGTCCCGTACCAATCTTCCTCTTTATCTTGAGATCTTGAAAGACACAATAAGAGGGATAAAATGTTACAGAACAATTGAGAGAACGGGTAATCTTGCTAATAAAAAGTAAACTGAAAGGAAATTGAGGAACAAATAACACGGATGATAGGGACATATCAGGACTCATGTGAGTAGTCCCCAAACCTGAAACTTTAGAACAAGTACCATTAGCAAGAGTAATACTATGTGTGAAAGTAGCAGACTGTAAAGTAGCAAAAACATCAGACGCACCAGCCATGTGGTCAGAGGCGCCAGAGTCTATGATCCAAGGACTGCCAGTGGAGGACAATAAACAAGTGAAAGCAGCACCTGACTGGGCAAAAGTAGTAGTGAAGGGAGATGGAACAGCTTGTTGCTGAGACAGGAATTGAGCACACTCTTCTCGTGTAATAGTAACTGACCCAATATCTGGTGGAGTTGATCGAGGTATAGAAGCCACAACAGAGGTGTCATCCTGATAAGAAACCTGATTCGCAGTACCAGAAGGTTTTCCATATAAATTTCAACAGAAATCAAAAGTATGCCCTCCATGACCACAGTGAGTACAAGAACGTAGTCCACTACGGCCCCCACGACCACCTGCACAGACTCCCGTATGACCTCCTTGACCGCCTCGATGACCATCACCATGGCTACTAGGAACTACAAGAGCTGAGCGATCAGTGGAAACACTAAGATTGATACATGAAGGAGACAAAGTAGCACGCTGTATACGAGAGAAAACCTCAAGTAGTGAGGGAAGAGTAGAACCACCCAAAGTCTGAGAACGAATACCCTCATATTCATGTTTCAAACTTACCAAAAATTTAACAACATTCATGTCCTCATGTTGCTTTTGTCAAACTACTGCATCAGTAGTAAATGGATAGTAGGTCTTCATTTTCTCACAGACTCCCCGAACGTGAGAGTAATAATCTTCAATGCTCAGATTATTCTGTTCAAGCCAGAAATACTCCTTGCACACCTCATAAACTCAGGTAAAATTGTCTGTACCAGAATATATAGTGGTCAAGTGATCCCATATCTCCTTGGCAGTGTCAAGGTAGAGCAGAGTAGAACTAATACTAGGTTCAATGCTATTCAATAGTAAAGAAATAATTTGAGCATCCTCTTGTTCCCACTGATCATACCCAAGAGTGTCATCTTTGGGTTTAGGATTCACCAAATATTTCTTAAATCCTTTGCCTCGAAGAAAAACTTGAACAGATCAGGACCATAAAGTGTAATTAGTCTCATTAAATTTGATAGAAGTCATGGGACCATTATTAAGAGTCGAAGGAGGCAAAGATGAAGTAAGAGACCTGGTATCTTGTTTGGGTTTCATAATAGTGTAGTAAATAGCAAACAAGAAGTGTGACAATGCTAAACCAAAAAAAAAAAAGTGTTGGAAGACTGAACTAGACTGAAAAAGGAGGCTGGGCAACTAAACTGACCAAGAAATGGCCATTGGATTGCTGAACCGGCCAAGAAATGACCATTGGACCACTGAACCGGCCAAAAAATGGCTACTGGATTGTTGAACCGGACAAGAGATGGCCACTGGACCGTTAGACTGGAGAAAGAGCAGATGGGACATGTCTGAACCAGTGTACCCTTCACTGAACCGGGACTGAATCAGTGTAAATCTTACTGAACCGGGTTGAATCGATCCTGGACCAGGCTGTTCTGGATTTTTTTTTAACTAGATCTGGGCTTGGATCTAAACTTAGCCACCCAAACCCGACCCAGGAGAATGAGATTGTCCTCTTCCCAAACAAACCCTAATGCTCCTTATTGTTAACTGCGCCTGGTATCCAGCAGCACCACCATGCAGCCACACAACACCACCACGCAACCACACGACACAAACGGCACACCCAAACCTATTCGACTACCACCACAACCACCAGTTGATCAAACTAGTCGACTGCGACTGCCACCACCACTACCAGACAAGTCCTCTACAGTGCTTGAACGAGACACCACCAACGTCAATCTCTTCGTTATACTCAACCATTGACGATGACGACGATAGTAGGCATAACGACAACAATAAAGAATCCTAGATTTAATAAATAGATTTAAAATTGTTTTGTTTCGATACCATATTAAGTTTGGAGAATGAACATAATATTAGAGATAAACAGAGAATGGTCAAAAACATAACCTAGCTCTCATACATCACTTTGTATTTATAGTTAACTTACAATAATAAGAATTACATATACACCCTCTTACTATTAACAATTTACACATACTACCCTACTATTCTTAACAGTGTTGATGGTGTGGTTTGTACAATCCGTGGAAGAGGTGGAGGATATGGTCGCGGTAATGTGGTCATGCTGGTGGTATTCCCCCGCCTTCCCTTTAGTTTATGTAGCAGTGGTAGGCAGATTTTGGTATCACTAATTGAGTTTCGGTAGTGCTAAAGAAACATTATTTTGAGGTTCTTTAAAGAGAGTGACAGCAGATTATCATAGAGGGACTCCAAGTAAATTAGTATGCTTACCAATTCTTAGATAAAGCTAGGTTTGAAGACTTACTTTAGTGGTGTGGTGTGGTGGTCTTTGTTTGCTCAGGGGTGATGGTGGTGGTATCACTGATGGCTGGACTTGTGATGACTATGTGGAGACTTGGGCAATGTCATTAAAAATTGCAAATGATCAATAGTGTCTTTAGGTGACCATGATGTTTGTGATGTGGAGGCGCTAACTTGCTATTTTTGTCAGTGGTTGGTGGCATTTCAGCATTGGGAAGTTTAGCTTATTCATGGAGACTGAATTAGTGATAACTTAGTGGTAGTCTGATGAATTAAAAACATTTTGGCCTAGTGAGGTCGTAAGTCTTCACCTCAGATGTTATGTATGCAGTGCAGATGAAACCGTCTCTATTTCTTTGTTATGAATTACTCCTTGCACTTCCCAGATGAAACATGATTATTTTGTTTAAAAATTTACATATAAGAAGATAGCTGATTTGTGCTACAACCTGGATTAATGGTTGCGTAACCTAGTAGTATTTTCTACTCGCGAGTATGGGTATATGACCTTTTCGGCTCAGCACACCTGGCCATAAGATATTTTGACCTCTATTTTACTGAGAGATAACATTATTTATGTCTTGGCATACTTCTTGAAAATCATGTATAGAGGTAGGAGTATATCCTTTTATGTACTTGTGTTAAGTATTCCAAGCCACTCACCTTGCATCAATAACCTAGTGAAACTTGTGCTTTCTTGGAAAAAAGTGAGCATGCATTTCTACTCTTACGGATATCTAGTCGTGGTTATCAAAGACCTTTCCATGATACATTGTGCACAAAATGGGGTGTTACTGTATATGTGCCTAGTTTAATCCATCTTAGTAAGAGAATCGCTAAAAACTCCCCCTACCCCCCCTCCCCGGTTTTGGTTTCTTATGTTAATTTTTTATGTTCTCATATTTCATTATTCTTGAATATGTTTCTAATATTCATGATATACATGGATTCACCGTTTGTTGTGTTGCTGCCTTTCTTGTTGCCATTTTTTGTGATTTAGTGTCATACGTAGTGATGGCTGATGATCAAGAAAATGATAAGAACATTGAGACATGGAAAATTAAGAAAATGATCAAGGCCTTAGAATCAGCAAGAGGAAATGGAACCAGCATGATCTCCCTTATCATACCCCCAGGTGGTCAAATAGCTGGGGTAACTAAGATGCTGGCAGAAGAATATGGAACTGCTTCAAACATTAAGAGTAGGGTAAACCGTCAGTCTGTGTTAGGTGCGATTACATCTGCTCAGCAGAGGCTCAAGCTGTACAATAAGGTTCCACCCAATGGACTAGTGCTTTATATTGGAACTGTTTTGACTGAAGATGGGAAGGAAAGAAAGGTCACTTTTGATTTTGTGCCTTTTAAGCCCATAAATGCATCTCTCTACCTCTGTGACAATAAGTTTCATACAGAACCTCTGAATGACCTCTTAGAATCTGACGACAAGTTTGGGTTTATTGTCATGGATGGAAATGGCACCCTTTTTGGGACCTTAAGTGGCAACACCCGAGAGGTGCTTCATAAATTCACAGTTGACCTTCCTAAAAAACATGGAAGAGGAGGACAATCAGCTCTTCGATTTGCCCGTCTTCGAATGGAGAAACGCCACAACTACGTAAGGAAGGCGGCGGAGCTGGCTACACAATTTTTTATAAATCCTGCAACTAGTCAGCCAAATGTTTCAGGATTAATACTAGCTGGATCTGCAGATTTCAAGACTGAGCTAAGCCAATCTGATATGTTTGATCTACGGCTTCGAGCCAAGATACTCAATGTGGTTGACGTGTCTTATGGAGGGGAAAATGGTTTCAATCAGGCCATTGAACTATCTTCGGAGATTCTGTCGAATGTAAAGTTCATTCAAGAAAAGCGCTTGATAGGAAAATTCTTTGAGGAAATCAGCCAGGATACTGGGAAATATGTGTTTGGGGTGGATGATACAATGAAAGCTTTGGAGATGGGTGCTGTTGAAACACTCATTGTGTGGGAAAATCTGGATATAAATAGGTACGAGCTGAAAAACAGCATCACAAATGAGATTGTCATAAAACACTTCAATAAGGACCAAGAGGGTGACCAGAGCAACTTCAGGGATGCAGCCACATCTGCTGAATTAGAGGTTCAGGAGAAAGTTCCTCTGCTGGAGTGGTTTGCTGATGAGTACAAAAAGTTTGGTTGTGCACTTGAGTTTGTTACCAACAGATCTCAAGAAGGGTCACAGTTCTGCAGAGGATTTGGTGGCATTGGGGGAATCCTTCGTTACCAGGTTGATATGAGATCCTTTGATGAACCATCTGATGAAGAACTGTATGAGGATTCTGAGTAAGTTCATTGTTTCATTGTGCCGTTTCCAGAGTATCAAATGCAAAATTTGCAATATGGTGGAAGTTTGTCTATCGAGCCCCTGCTGTGTGATTCTGGGTAATCTTTCCAACCTTGATCTCCAAATTTTTAATAAGGTTTTGATCTTTAATATTTTCTTTACACAAATTGGGACATAGGCATTTCACTATTGATATTTTTATTTAATATGGGATTTCTGTGTTGTTTATGAAGCATCTGTATCTTGTCCATTCTTTGAAATGAATGGAGATTATTTTTAAGCTATAGCAGTGTAATACTTTGCGATTTGTTGATTGTGTTCTGGGATAAGATAACTAAGTTGCAAAAGATGAATTAATAATCAAATTAGTGATTATAAAGGGATTTAGATTCTTGCCTTCTGTTGATGTGCAGAGATGGAATTCGAACCTAGGTTAGCTAGGTCATCACTGGTTGCCCTTGGTCACTGGGACAGAACAGCGGTTGTATAGTTTCTAATGAAAAAACATATAGTTACAGATTCTCCTATATGTTCTAGAATATAATGCAAAACTTGTTTTCATCTTACATTTTTTTTAAATGGATCTAAGCCTAGAAAACGTTACTATTAACATATTAAAGCATCTATGGTAGTTATTAAATATTAATGAAGGGAGGTGCGATCAACATTAACATTCTTATTTTTTTGAGAAGACAAACATTGTCAATGGGTTACTAAGGATTGGATGTAAGAATTGAAGGACAATCTGGTGTAATAAGAATCGGTGAAGAAGTTTTTATAAATTGAATTTAAACGAGCATAGATAATTAATTTCCCATGCAGTGTTAGTTGGATTCAACCGAGAGAAATATGGAGGCAATATGTCATAAACCTTACTACAGTATACGTTACACGTGCATGCTATGGTATTTTGATAGTTCTTTGGGTTTGATATTATATATATATATTTATATTGGTTTCACTAGAATTGTTCGAAAGTAAAGGACATGCATAAACTGTAGAGCCTTGCATATATAGCCAAATAGCGACTGACCAGAACACCCCTTTGGTTTGGGTAAGACATAAAAGTCATAGTAAGGGCAAAAAAAAGGAAAAGGAAAACTAATAACTAGGCTATAATTTCAATGCTCCCTCTCAAGTTATGTATAAAAATGTCAATTAAGTTAAGCTTGACAATGGAGTTCCAGAGAATGGATGGAGTGACAGGTTTGGTGAAGACATCCGCAACTTGATCACTGATCCCCATAAACGATTGGGTGACAATATCACAGCTAATCTTCTCTTAAAGAAAGTGAATATCGATCTCTATATGCTTTGTCTTCTGGTGCAATACAAAGTTAGAAGTGAGCTGAATAGAAGATCAGATATCACAATACAATGTAGATGGAAAATTTACTAGAAATCTCAACTCGTCAAGAATAGATCGTAATCAGATAACTTTACATGTGTTAAGTAGCAGTGCCCGATATTTTGCCTCTGCTAACGAACGGGAGACAATTGCCTACTTTTTGCTCTTCCAAGAGATCAGATAGATCCCTCGAAAAGTACATAAGTCCATAGTAGATCGGCTGTCCTAAGCTCTCTTATAATCTGAATCTGAACAACAGGCTAGAGAATCTATCTGAGACCCTAATGCATAGAATAATCAAGTCCAGGACAAAAATTGAGGTACTGAAGAATATGATATACTGTATCCAAATGAGACTGACACGGCTTGTGCATGAATTGAATAACTCGCTGATGGCAAATGAAATGTCTGACCTAGTGTTGGCTAGGTAGATAAGCCTGTTTACCAACCTCTGATAAATAGTCGGATCTCTGAACTCCTCATATTCAGCAACAAGTTTCAGGTTTGGAATCATGGGTGATGATGCCGGTTTATACCCCAACATCTTAATGTTCTAGAAAAGATCTAGAACGTACTTCTTCTGAGAGAGAACAATACCCTAGCTATTACGGGCAACTTCAATCCCAAGAAAGTACTGCAGAAATTCAAGGTCCTTCACATCAAAAGCCTTCCAAAGGTCAACCCTGGCTTGTGCAGCCTTAGAAATGTCATTCCCCATAATAATAATATTATCCACATATACCAAGAGAATGACATACTGTCCAGAAGTATTCCGTTGAATGAAACATGTATGATTAGAATGACATCTAGTGAACCTTATACGTACAACTACACCACTAAATCGAAACAACTAGGCTCGTGGTGACTATTTCAGTTCATAAAGAGATTTATGCGGTTGACACACCTTCATAGCATACTCCACCTCACCACGAAAGTCAGGTGGTGCATCCATATTAGTAGTCACTTCCAGATCACCATGAAGAAATACATTTTTCACATTCAACTGATAAAGGGGCAAAGAATACGAGGCAACTAGAGAAATAATCAAACAAACTGTACTCAACTTTGCCACGAGGGCAAAGGTAGCTCTAAAATTACGACCAAAAACCTGAGTAAAGCCCTTCACCACAAGCATAGCTTTGTTACGATCAACAATACCATTTGCAAAAAACTTCAGGGTGGAAATCCATCAACAATCAACAGACTTCACCCTTGAAGGTAAAAAAATAAGATTTTATGTATGATTACGTCGAAGAGCGTCCATCTCTGTTTTCATAGCAAAAACCTACTAAGACTCCTGCATAGCCTCTAAAATAGAGCGAGGAACAAATCATCATAAAAAATATAACCAGAGATTGGATATAAAGCCCTGGCGGCCCAACCATAACGAACAATTGGTCTGCGGTCACGCCGTGGATAATGGCGTCCTAAATCGTTATCCTCTACTCAGGTAAATCAACTGGTTCAAAAAATTTAGCACTTGTAGTCTCATCAACACTAACAACAAGCGCATTAGTGCTAATAATAGGCTCAACAGTATGCTCAACGAATTGAGAAATATTACTTGTATCATTTGAGGTCGAAGGGACATCAGCAAGGGAATGAGAGCGAGGGTGACGAACATAAACTTGCAAAGGAGGAGAGATTGATGACTCTATAGAGACAGTGATGAGCGACTCTAGTGGTAAGGGAAAATTAAAGAGTATCATTAACTGAATAGGCAAACATGAGATTGGAAGTAGAAAAATAAGGGATATACTCCAGAAAAGTAATATCTAGATTGTGATACATGCGGCGCCAGATGGGATCATAACACCGATATCCCTTAGACTAATGACAGTAGCCCACAAAGATATAACGAATAGCTTTATTATCAAGCTTATGGTGAGTAGAAGACTGATCCTGAACAAAGTATATACAACCAAAGACACAAAGACGGAACAAAAAAAGTGTCTGCTTAAGAAATAAGACCTATAAGAGAGTCTTATGCTAAGAACATGACTCGGTATGCGATTGCACAGAAAAGTAGAAGTCAGAACAGTAATGCCAATAAGACTAGGGCACCACCATACCTCTAAGCATACATCATACCATCTTTATCAGACTCATTTTTTTTTTCAATAACTCCATTTTGCGCAGGAGTATATGAACAAGTGAGCTGTTGAAAAATATCTTGTGAAGAAAGGTGAGACACTAAGACATCAGACACATTTTTTGGTATTATCCAAACGAAAAGCACGATCAATGACATCGAATTGTGTCTTAATCATCTGTAGAAACTGAATGATGAGAAAGAGTATATCGGATTTTCTATGTACAAGGTAGACCCAAAGTACAATGGGTACAGTCATTTATAGATATCACATAGTATTGAACACTTAACAGAGTACTAATAGGAGAGGGTTCCCAAATATCATAGTGTATTAGGTTAAACGGCTTGGGAGACTAGTGCATGCGAGGAATATAACTGGTCCTAACATGTTTAGATACTAAACATATAACACAGTTAAGTTTACCACTAGCACATACATTACTCAAAGCAAAAAATAGCATACATAAATATTTAAAATTTGTATACCTAAAACGGTCATGCCACAACTGAACAGTGTGTGACAAAAAATTATGATGTCAAGTACTAGGTAAAATACTAACATGCAAGTTAGGAACAAATAAAGATAAAACAGGTTCAGGTGGTGGAGGAATTGGAGGTGAATCATCTAGATAGTACAACCCATCTCTCTCATGTGCCTTGATAATAACCTTTTTGATACTCAGGTCCTACAAATAACATGAATCAAATAAGAATACAATCGCACAATGAAAATCTCTAGCTAACTGATATACCGATAATAGATTTATGGCCAACTTTGGCGCATGAAAAACAGAATGTAATGTAAAACTATTTGAAAAGCGAACTGTACCCTTACTAACAATAGGGGTATGTGTCTCATCTACTAATTGAACCTGTATGTGTAATTGCTCATCGAAAGTAGTGAAATGATAAGCCTCACTTTTTATGTGATCATTTGCACCCAAGTTCAGCATCCAAAGGGAGAAGGACCAGTGCAAGCATGAAAGACACGAGGTATATCTGTAGTAGTCGCAGCAATAGCAGTGGGACCCTGAGAAGTCATGGCAGACATAAGCATATCCAATCTAGAAGTGATAGCATTCATATCACTCTACCAAGGAGGAGTAGTAACAGGGGCAACAACAGTAGGTGGTGGTCCCTCAAGCCTCGAGGAGCAAGATGAGGCGACTCAAGCTCAGGATCGAGCTTCCAGCAAGCCACCCTGAGATGTCCTGGTATTGAGAATCGCCCTGTCTATGTTGGTTTGGGGTGCGGCGTTGGTTTGGATGCAGTCCACCCCTGATTGGAGTCCTAACGAGATCCTGTAGCAACTGCAATGGCCATCTGGTCAGCTTGAGAAGTCAAGGTCACAACTAGAAGGTGCTATACGAACACAGCGTTCATATTACTCAATTATAGAATACACCTCATAAAGAGAAGGAAGCCTTAACATCAATAAGATCTGAGAACGAGGTCCGTCAAACTCATCATGAAGTCCCATAAGGAACTTGTGAATCCTATCCTTCTACTCTTGAGAATGCAGAAATGTCGCTCTCTCGGTGTGTATCTTCAGAATAGTAATAA